GCTTTGTGAATGCTCCTCTATGAACAGAAAGTCTTAGTGTACTCTTTTATGTATGAGGCCCCAGGACTTTTCTAAACATGTCCACTTGTGTGTGTGAGCTCACATGTATTGTGCTGTTTCAGTGAGAAGAAGAAGGAGAAAGAGCGTGAGGAGCTGTGGAAGAAGCTGGAGGACCTGGAGCTGAAGCGGGGCCTTAGGAGTGATGGGATCATCCCCACTTAACAGAGAAAGAGCCCTGCTCCCCGTTCATCCCACTCCCTTCCACTTCAGCCATGTCTGCCCAGAGCTCGTGATGCAGGCTGTGGTCTCTGGACTTCCACAGCACCGCTGGTTTCTTAATCCTTTTATTATGATTTTGTTCTGTTTTGTTTCCTCTTGTGTTTGTGCGACTTAGTTTATTGTAGATTCATCACGACTGTTTTCATTATTTCAGCAGCACTGTAAATAATTATTTTTCCCCTAATGTTATTGCAAAGAGATAAAAAAATAACAATAATAAAAAGGAAAAAACTGAAATGGAGAAAATGACTTGTGTGTGAGGGGAATCTAAACAAAAAAAACAGAAAGCATCAAAAAGCCGTAGGTTCCTGGGTTTTTCTTCACCCCACTCCTCCTTTTCAGCGCATCCCACATTTAACTTTCATTTTCGCTCCTCTTGTCGGTGTACTCTCCTGTCTGCTCTATCTGGATCGACTAGATTCAGTGTCGCCTAAAAGTAGTCCTGGATGTGTGGTCTCTTGCCTGTTGGCATGTTGTCCATCCTGCAGGAACAGACCCACTCTGTGGACGGGGCCCTTCTAAAGCCCTCTGAGTGTGTTTACATGCATGGTCAGGAACATCAGGAAAAGCTAAAAGATGTTTGGGTTATGTTTAGTTCAACATGTAAGCTTTCCTTTTGTTTCAGAGGATTTGCTGTTTTTGAAGATCCCGATGCGAGGATGTTTGTTCTAACAGCTCCAGCACAGAATAGAAATGCAGCAGGTTTGTGAATGCAGTCAGTTTGGAATCCTCTTAATTTCTGCATGAAAACAAAAGTCTGCAATCTGTTGTTGATCAATACATTTATGTACTGAAAACCATAGGATTTTTGGCTTTAATGCATTTAATGAAGTGGGGACTAATTTTTTAATATTTGACCCTCTGATCACCAGTCATGTGAACATTCTTACTGATTGGTGCAATTGTTAAACAGCCTCTGATTTTACTGATAATTGGTGAAAAGCAGCAGTTGAAGATAGAATGATCATTTCCTGTCAATGCCTGATTCACTTCCTGTAGAAGTTGGTGCTCTAGCGGTCTTCAGTTAGATTCAGGGTTAATGTTTTTCCTTTGTTGTAGTGCCATCTAGTGGTGGGAACAGCAGAAATGGCAAAAAAACAAACTTTTAAAATATATATTCTAGGGTTTTATTTTTTGTTTGTTTTTTTAACTCCACCAGAAATGTGAGTGTTTAAGCCACTGTTCCGTTTTTTTATTGTTTGTATAGTGTATAGAGTGTTTGACCAGTTTCAGTTTATAATCATTTCTCGCTCTGTGGACTGCATGTAAACACACTCTCATTACCTCCGTCAGAAATCTATCGGTCTGTTAATCCCTCAGTTCTTCCAACTGTAGGAGACATGTTGGTACAGGTCTGGTACTGGTACCAGACTGCAGTAACTGACACACCCAAGATATAAACAGGAACGAATTGTAAAGTGCACCAAACTCCTGTTCCAACTTTTTGTCACTGGGGGGCGCTGCGTTGACTTCACAGTATTACTGCAGATTAAAAACGACCCTGTACATTATTTAATGCAGTACCCTGATATTCCTGTATCTTGTAGTAATTTAGCATTTATTTTATTTTTTTAAAATTTTTCTTAGGGATTGTGGAGAGGATTATCCAGTATATAAAGAGGTATTATGGAACAAGACTTCCTACTATACATGTTAGTGTTTTCCCCTTTTGGTATGTTAATTTTTTTTGTCTCACGTTCTCCCTCTGCTCTTGATTTTTATCTTTTCAATATTTTTTGTTCATTAGAGATATATGTATATGTATATCTTTTTTTTTTTTTTTTTTTGAGGGAAGGGGCGAGAGTGAGTGGGGCAGCTAGACATGAGCTCGGAGCTCGGGGTGGACTGGGGTAGGGTGCAGTGGGATGGGGTTAAATGTGGGGAGGAAGCTTGGAGGAGATTGTTTAATTGTTGGGACCTGAGAGTGATCCGCCCCAACACGACCCCTTCCTCCCTTACAGAATTGATGTGTGGTGTAGAATGGCCCAGATTTAATATGATTTATAATCTGAAAAAAAAAAGATCAAAAGGGTTGGAAGAATACAAATGTTTAATTATTTTAAAAAAAATAAAGAGATATTAAATTAAATCTGTTTTGTGATAAAGACTGGAATGCTGTTCTGTTGTTTTCTTTTATCCAGTTTTAAAGAGCTTGATTTTCCTGAGATATGATGTGGTTTCAGATCATTTGCCATTGTACAGCAGATTTCTTTGTCCATGGTTTTGTATGGGGAAAGCCCCAAAAGAAAACTGACAACATAAATTAAAAGGAAAAGGGGGAATGGTGTTCATTTGATTATTTTTTTTTTCCTTAGAAACAAATCTATTAATGTTCCTCACATACTTATATTGAGAAAATAATTAATGTTAAATCTGGGAAGAATCTATTTAAAGAGCTGGAAATTTCCCATGCAAAAATTTAGAAAGATTGCAGGGTTTTTTTTTTTGCAGGAGGTGGGTGTTCTTATTCTAAGGAAACATCCTCATCTGTCACTATAATTTCAATTGATGCCATAAATTCAGCTCATAAAGGGAAACCCTGTTGACTCATCACACAGAGCAATATATTTCTGAGATTTATTTCTGATTTTGATTATGGTTTACAGCTAAAATACTTGAGGACAATAGGTATTTGATGTACTGTTTTTTTTTTTTTCAATTGCTCTGTCTAAAATCGATGTAATAAACAAAGCTAAACGGACACACACATAAACCATTTGATACAATAGAAAAATACAAGTTAATGTTTTGCATAGAAACCTCCGTTTACGACGCCATAGCTCAGTTTCCTGCCCAGGGTTCAACGCGCTGGTCTAATATGATATTCTAATTTTCTGAGACACTGAATTCTGCAATCGAAATATGGTGTTTAAGCACAAACGTCAGGCAGGAACATCTGTTCGTCTCCATTTACTCAGTTCTTGTTGGGGCCTAATTCTCCAATGTGCCATGGAATGGAGGTGATCAGCCTGCTGTTCTGGTAGGTGGAACACAAACTCAGATCATCTTTCTATTGACAATAGCCCATACATTCTCTCAGAGATTGAAGTTGGTGTTTGTTGACCAGCCAGACCAGGAACATTGTTTTTGGCAGTGTGGGTAGTTGCCAGGTCCTGCTAAAATAAAAAAACAAAATCAAATCAGCATTCCCATCCAACTTGTCAGCAGAGGGATCATGAATAGTTGAAAACTGACTACATTCGGTGTTATTTAGACCGAGTAGCATCAAACCCTGTTTTTTTTTTTAATGATTTTAATATTTTATTGTTGAAACGTAAACGATTAAACTGAACCGCACTTGTCCTGACATACACAAAATAAAGAAAACCAAAATAAAAGGATGTGAAAACCTCACTCGAATGTAAAGAACAAAATAAAAAAAAACCTCAGTTTGTATCATAAACATGTAGCCTAACGCATTGGTCTGTGAGCCGAAGCGCATGAATCTGCCGGTAATTTCTTTCCGACTGAAAAAGAAAAAAGGTCAGGCTTGATTGATTTTAGGGTGATCAAGGTGTAAGGTGGTGGAGCGCTTTGGCTGTGATGGAGAACGTCGCAATGGAAGGATTTAGAGGGAGCCTGTGTACAGAGATCATATTGATCTGTTGGGAAATGTTGATGTTGATTTATTATTGGTTAGATTACTCCTGATCATCCTGGAGCTCTGAGCAAAACTTAAAGAACGAGCCGTGCGGTACCGGTGCAACTGCCGTCATCCTTCAGTGGATCCATGTCCACTTTGTGGATGCATCTCTATTCTGTAAATGTACAACTTATGCACGTGATTTATTTGTTTAGAATAAATCCGGAAGTCACTCAAATGACTGACACGCTTTAAATCCCGGCTGTTCAAACAGGCTTCTGCACTTGGATCTCTTTATTTATTTTTTTAAACTTGTAATGTTTTCTTTAATTCTTTTAAATTTTTGATTTGATTTTATATACATTTACATATACAATACATTATACATTTATAGGCCTATTTATGGATGGCGACAGGGCGGACCAGCAGCTGCGCTCTATTTCCTGCAAATTAGGACTGATAAAGGAAAGGCGCGCATCGCTTTTGTACATCAGAATTTTTTTGTGAACCGCGCTTTTCTAAATTTGTCCGTATGTCACGTTTTGGTGTGAGAACTGCGCACTCTTTTATACATGAGGCCACAGGTCATTTCCACCAGGCTTTAAAAACAACAGTTCTAAAACCACTGATTTAAAAGAGAAAAGAAAATAGTACTGCACAATTACAGGCCAGTCTCCAACCTCCCATTCATCAACAAAATGATTGAAAAATCTGTCTCAACAATTAAACAACTCAACTTCCTAACCGTTTTGATATGTTTCAATCTGGTTTCCATGCTCACCACAGAGTTCAATGACATCCACATAAATACAGACTGCGGAAGAACCACAGTAGAGCATCTGACATTGTTAACTCTCTGGTCCAGTCCTGAACTTGTTCCAGTCTGACATACAGACAAGGTAATGTCTCTTCAAAGTCGACAGATGTCACATATGGGGTACCCCAAGGTTCAATCCTAGAACCTCTCATTCAATATCTCATTCAATAACCTAATCTGCTCCCACTAGATTAGGTTTTAATAGGACATAAGATTAGATATAACTGCGGAGATGACACACAGATTTACATTATGATGTCAGTGAAAGAATCCAAGCCCTTAGATGCTTAGAACAGATAAATGTGCCCAAACTTTCTCCAGTTGAACAAAAATGAAACTGAATTTATTATTGTTGGACCTACATAGGAAAGATCTCTAGAGTTAGCACACAACTTTCGTTATTACAGCTAGAAACAGCTGGTGACCAAGAGCAAAATCTGGTTGCGATGATGCACTCTGACCCGAACATTCAGTCACATAAAGACAGTTACAAAGTTGGCCTTGTATCACCTGAAAAACATTTCCAGGATTAAATAGCAAATATCTCAGCAAGATCTACGACATCCAGGTATTTATCTTTAATCACATTGATTACTGTAACACTGTCTTCACATGGTAGTTGTCTGCCGAAAAAGAAAATCTACCCTCCAGCTGCAGCTGATTCGGAACGCTGCTGCTGATGTTCTGACTAAAACACAGTTCTAAAGTCCTTCCACTGACTCCATGGAAATCAGAAAATAGACTTTAAAATAATGTTAGTTTTTGATGACTGTGAAGGAGAAAATGTTTCATTTGCATCAAACAGTGTTCCTTTAAGCATCACATGAATGTAATGTTATTGTATCACAGTCAAGATGTTTTTCTGTGCAGCTGCAGAGGGTGTACAAACTAACTGAACAAAATGGATCTGTTGAAGTTTCCCAGACGGGTCGTCTGGGAACTTGCTGTCTTTCCCGTGGCCTTCCCTACACGGAGATGTCCTGTAGACATGATAGTGAATGAGCGTACAAAGTTGAATTGTTCCGTCTCTCTGTTTTCCTTTGTTTGGTCCTTGATGATTAAATCTCCGCCTCTGTTAGCTGGGAGGTGAATAAAGCAACTATGTAACTCTGAGTTCGTTAGAACAGATTTTTTTGCTCATTCCATGTATTTTCTGTTTTCTGGCTATGCACATTAAAGCTTGATTTTGATCCCTGACTTTTGTTTGGATCTGTCTCTGCACTTCACAGTCTGGTGCCCAATGTGGGGCCTGCGCTGCTTTTGTCCGATTTGGTGGATCCGGGGAGAGGGGCTGATCATCGACCCTCTACTACCTCCGTCAGGCTAGACTGAGAGAAAGAAGACTTTCCCAACGCTCCACCGGGTTGGATCAGCCACGACAGGATAAAGGCAGAGCTGAGAGGGGCAGCAAAACATCTTAAGGTTTGTAGGTCTATTAATTTAGACTGAGAAATTAGGATAAACATTTTAAATAAACGCTTTAAATTGTAGGAGGTTTGCAGAATAAGAATTAAGAGAATTGGACTTTTCTCCTCCAAGGAGCCTCAAGAGGATTATATTCCTCATGGGCCCATTGTAGAAGAAATGACTAAAAAACATGGAGAATAATGTGTTCAGTATTTGCCACAATGGAACCATAAATTTGGATTTCCTAAACACGGGTCATTTGAACCTGAGCTTTTGATAAAATTGGAAGAAAAATTGCTGCTGCAGAAACAACAGCTGCTGAAACAAAAAATTCTCACTTGACCATTTACAAATAATGCAAGAACACAGACACACTCTGAGTTTGGAAACAGGAATCAAAAATGAGCGTACAAAGTTGAACTGTTCCGTCTGTCTGTTTTCCTTTGTTTGGTCCTTGAAGATTAGCTGAGAGAATAAAGCAACTATGTAACTGAGTTCGTTAGAACAAATTTTTTTATCTGTCCATGTATTTTCTGTTTTCCGGCCGAATACGCATTAAAGATTGATTTTGCTCCCGGACTTTTGTCTGGATCTGAAATGTGCACTTAGCACCACAATATATTAAAGATTTGCTGTTGTTGTATCAACCTTCCAGGCCTCTCAGATCTTCTGGTGCTGCTCTGCATCAGGACCAGAACCAAACATGGAGAAGCAGCACTCAGCTGATATGCACCACAAATCTGGAACAAACTTCCAGAAAACTGCAAAACAGTTGAAACAGAGTTCCTTTAAATCCAGACTAAAAACCTACCTGGTTAGAGTTGCATTTGAACCATAATAAGGAAACGTTGACAAACATATTTGTGTATGTTTCATAATTTTGATGATGGCATACATCAAAATGTAATGTTTGTCACTGGTTTTTTCATTGTCACATGTATGCTATTTTTGTTATGTAGAGCACTTTGAACTGCCTTGTTACACAATTAACGTGGAGTCATTGAACTGCCCATGACGATGCACGCACCAAGCTACACCATATCACTTGCTCAGTTTGTGTGAACTCATCACAAAGTTCAAAAGTACCAAGGGCAAAGTTGACAAAAGCTGGACAAAAACACTATCCTACTTTGTCAGCGACACTCAGATGAGTTCCAATTTCTTGAGGTGTACAGATAAATGTGTGGGTGGCTGATTAATTCCCAGTATCTGTGACACAGCAGCTTCCTGGTTCTCTTTATCTCTTCATTAGAGTCCATGGGCAGAAACACTACAAACATATTAAGTTGACAGCCCTTACAATAGCAGAAAAACTTGTTTTTTCAAAGCAGCAGAAGTGGGTCCAATGGTCAACAATGACCGTGGGACACATGGTCATAGTTTCCCTGTAATTCCTCACAGGGAAACTTCCTGTATCAAACAGTTCTGGTTCTTTCAAATTCTCCATCCAGTCAAAGCTCATATATCCCAAACAGCCAATCTTGTATTCTGAACCTGATTGTGTCTGGTACTCCGGTCCTTATGGGACTGTTCCTGTTCCAACTCAGCAGAGCAGTTCTGTTGGGTCATCGGAGTTCGGCTTTGAACAGCGGCCACATGTGCAACATGGTGCCTTCGACCCAACTTTGAATCAGCCAGTTAACATGGAAGAAATGTTCTAATTTTGAAGAGTCAAACTTTTAAAACCAGATAAAAACATCAGTGAGATGTTGACATTGTTTGTGACTCCAGATGTTCATTCAAAGACTTGAATCTTCTTTCGTTTTTGATTTTTTCTGAAATGACAAAAAAGGAAAGTAAGAGGGCAGAATTAAGACAGAGTCGACATCAGATTTAAAACATATGATGGTGTTGACCTCGTAAAGTGGGCTCCAGGGAAATCAGATTGTTTATCAGGGTGGGCCTTGCAGCTTCTCTCCCCAGGTCGCCTGGGAAACACAGCCAGAGAGGATTAGTTCAGTCCAACTTGAGGTAAAAATTCTTCACTAGATGTGTGAGCAGCTATGATGGGTTCAGAGGTCAGATCTCGACCATTGTTTTGTTTTACGCTGTGACACTGTGTCGCACAGTGGACGACACGGTGCGAAACATGTTTCACTTCCTCAACTTTTACTAAGACATAATTCATGACATTCATGCAATAAATACAAAAGTTAATAAAAATTCAGGAACTCATGGTAGTTGTTGACAGAAACCGTAGATTCAAAGTTTTTCTGCTCAACTTGGACAAAGAGTTCTGTTTAATATTTAACCATTTTATTTTAAAAGTTGACAGATTTACCTGACATGTGGATCTGCTCTTTAGTTCTGTTTTTGAGAGATGGCTTGGTCACTCTGGAATGGCGTAGCTTCAGGAAGGATTCGTCTTCCTCAGCAGGTAAATCGATCTCCACCTGACGATGGCGCCGTGACTTTACAGCCTGAAAATAGCATCACATTTTCTGATTCTTCTTCTTTGTTTTTAAATACTTCTAATTAGAAAAGGCTTCAGAAGATGAATAGATACTAAGAACTTTTGACTCAATAAATATGTTGCATTTTATATCATAAACTGTGACACAGAAAAAAAGCATTACATACATTATACATGAAATCAACAATAAAAAGTTGAGTTGCTGTTAAGTTTCAGCAAAGGCTAGAAAAATCTTATACATTAAAACAATCATTTATTGAAACAGCCAGTATAAGGATACTGAACAACACACACCTCTGATGCTTCTTCATAAGCCTTAGATTTGATGGCTGCCAGCAGCTGGGCTCTGTTGGAACACTGAGGACACAAAACAACCAGTTACTGACGGGTTAAAAGCCTGACCTGCTCATTCTCATTTTGGCCAATTCCAATATGTTTTTGTCTACAATCCTGCGAAATATAGGAAGCTGCTGAGTTGGCAGAGTGACTGCCAACTCAGCCACAGTGCTCTTCTGCAGAGCATTGTGGCAGATTTTTAGACCTTTGCTGACACAGATGAGATCAGCTTCACATGTAAGACTTGACTGATCACCGATCTCCCAAAATGATGGAAACTGGAGCTGATTTAACAGTGCAACTTTACGAATTAGCTGTTAATTTTAGTAAAGAACAAAAACACTTGATGTCTCTCCTCAGGGCTCTTCTAACAGCATCTAACATGAATATTAAACTCATTCTTCAAACTTTAGAAGAATGACTAATAACCCATTTTAAAAACATACCTCTTGCTGAGATGAAATCCTTTCCTGGTTGGGCTGGGCTTCATCGACTGTGTCCTTTCAAGACAAAAGGCAACAACCATTTGAGAAAAAAAACAGTCTTGTTCACCCATTGTTAGTTCTCTTTAAGCCATCTATCAATGGAGGGTGAAGTTATGTTGGACAACAGCAGATCAACGTTAGGAGACATGCACTATACAATTCACTTTCATTCTGGGACTTCTCTGCCCCTTTGAGTGCTAACTAAAAACAACCAATCAGTGTTAGGATAAGGGTTTAAGTGCCTTTTATTTATAGGTTTTAAAATAAAGAAAGGTTAAGATCTATCAATGGAATGTTGATATTTGTGGAAGATACAAAAGGCATGTATTCTTAATCTCATCATTGTAAACTCAATGAACAATAATCAATGAAAAAAATAACTTAAAAACCTGCTATAACTGCCATTAGTATTATAATATATATATATATATATATATTATATATATATATATATATATATATATATATATATATATATAATATATATATATATATATATTTAAATACATTAGTTGTTTTTTATCCTTCATAAAATTAAGAGCGACTGTGAAAGGAGCCTCAGGTTGCAGATATAATATAATCATACAAAAAGAAACAAATTGCAGTGTATGTTGAAATGAGAAACAGTAAAAGTTAGACAAAGAAAGCCATTTTCTATCAAACAATACACTGGCTTTATCCTAAAGCTTTACTAACATATTAGCCAATGAAATGTTTAATAAGTTCAATAAGATTTGGGTATAATAAGTGCTAATAGGGGTTAGAAGTGATTAAATGTGGAAAGCTCACCCTGTTCTGCTGCCAGTTGTAGAATTCCACCACAGCGCTGCAGAGCTCCGACACGATTCCATCACGGACCAGGTTGACAGACGCAGCAGCTGCTGAGGACATCTGGGAGCTGATGGACGCCTTCATATTTTTGTACAGCTCATGGATATTTGACATTTCCTACAAGAGTCAAATCAAAACAATTTTAACAAAGTTGATCTTTGGAGGAGAGGCAGAGCACAACAGGCCTATTTCCAAGGCAAACATAAGGCTAAGGCTTAGAATTTCCTCAAGATGTTTCAACACCTGTCCAGAATCCTGGCTCGGCAGGAAGAATAAGCCATCTTTGTCAAAAGGGAAGAGCCCAAAAACTGGACTGAGGGGTGGAACAATCCTGTTCTGAATCCCATCATGATTCCACAGACGAAGCACACATTCTTTTATTCTAATCGTACCAGGTGGGAACTTACTGGAAGGTGATTGGCTACTCTGAACTCACCTCAGTCAGTTGAGTGTTTATCAGTTCCTGAGGGCGACATGGTCGTTCCATGAACTCATCACACAGCTCTGACTTCTCTTCAGTCCTCTTTCTGCTGTAATGAAGCTGAATGGAAACAAAGAGTAGAGTCAAGCGTAAAACAAACCTTTTACTTCATCAACGAGGGTTTGTGTCAGACTGCTCACCAGAGTGGGCATTGCAGTGAAGAGGAAAGCTTTGCAAGTCATAAGCTGTTGTAAGATGTAGGCAATGTCAAGGTGTTGAGCATCCAATGATTCCCTCTCAAAGTTTCTCACGTCTTCCCAATCCTTCAGGGCCACACGGATCTGCAGTCAAGGACGAACCAACAGGGCAACATGAAGAAACTAGGAGTAGACTGCAGTTTAAACAGACGGGATGTGTACTGTAGTCCAGACCTGTTCTGGAGGTGAGGTGGTCTGGCAGTGGTAGAAGCTGTACAGCAGGTAGAGACCACCCACACGGATCTGGAAGCTGAACGGGGGCAGGAAATAGCAATAAGCTACATCCAGGACCAGACGGCAGAAGGCCCGCTTGTTGTGGCCCTGTCTGTCATTGGGACAAAAAAACAAACACTGACCGTGAGGCCCCTGAAAGCTCGAAAAGGGGACAGAAAGCTTGAAAGGCAAGTTCCTGTCAAAGCATTCATATTTATCAACTTAACTACATTAATAACAGAAGGTGACAACTTCTAGAAAGTTTTTTTAAATGCTTGTTAGGGTATGGGGACAGACACTTCGACGTAAACGACCTTAACGTTAACATTAAAGTATTTGTGTACCTGAAGATCTGAACGAACTTCATCTCCTTCCAAATGTTGGAGAAAACCTCAAATCTGACCGACTGTGTTTGCTGGAAGCGGCTGAGCAAAGCCTCACAGTCTGATTTCACAGGTTTCCGGTAGGACTCCATCTCACACTGGATTCAACAACCAGGAGCAGCTAGAGCCGATATTAACGAGCAAAAAGTCAGCCCGTCAACCTTTCGTAGAAATCTATTGAGAAATGGTGGCCGACTGGACCCAGTTAGACTCAATCATGGACTCTTCGATTCTCACCACGACTAGAACCGATCTGAAACCTTTCCAATGAGAATCTCCGGTTTCAAATATTCTTCTTCTTTTCTATTATGTATTGCAGTTATTGTAGCTACCGGATGTTTTTTGTCTCTTCTTTGTTTTTGTTTTTTTTTTGTTTTTTTGTTCTTCTTCTTCTTCTTGAAATTTATTGGCGATTGGCAAGAATAGTTAGGTGAGAACTACCGCCACCAACTGGTAAGGAGTGTGGCTCACATGACAAAGAAAAGAAAAAAAATCAACAAAAACTATATTCAATTATACAACTTACTCTGTTTGTAGTCTGATATTTTCTGCTTCCCAAGTCTTTTGCAGTAAATCAGTGATATTAAAATTTATTTTCATATCACTAAGGTTCCTAATTAACTTGTTTCTCTGAGTCAGATAATTCCTACAACTCAAAATAACTCCTCTTCTCCACAGTCACATTTTCCTGTCTGATGTTTCCCTATCAGAAATAGTGTTCAATTCAATACAGTTTGTCCGATTCTAAATTGTGAAATAATGATCTCTTCTGTCTTGTTTCTTTCTGTTCTTCTCATTTGTCCAATTCTCTTTTTGACTTTATATAACCACATTCTTTTCTTTTTTCTGCCTATAACTTTTGCCACCTCTCTTTTGTTTTTTGTTTAATTATATTCTTTATTTCGGTCATACTGTAACTAACATTAATATCTATCCTTACCTGAATGGTACTCTCCCAATCAGGTCATTTCTATCAGCTCCCCACTCTGTTCCAACTAAACACCTCATCATATTTAACACCTTCCTACATTTATCGATTATTTTCTTAATGTGCACATCCCATGTCACTCTTTCATCAAACCACATCCCAAGAAATTAAATTGTTTAACTCTTTTCAAATCCTGACCATATAATTTTAAGTTAATTTTTTCATCAACTCTTTTCCTTGTAAAAAACATTATTTTAGTTTTCTCAACAGAAAATTTAAAACCCATTTATATAACCATTTTTATACAACTGAAATTGCTCACTGAAGCTTCTTTACAATAAAGTCTTAATTTCTTCCTCTTTTCTACATCGCTCCATCATCAGCAAAAAGTAAAAATCCCATCCCACCCTTTACTTTTTTTAAACATATCTTTACCCACCACTGAAAAAGCAATAACCGATTACTGTACTATGCTTCCTTTTCATTGTCTACAGTATATTCAAACTCTCAGAAGAATCTTTTCCTATCCTCACTTGTATTTGTCTTTCTTATAGAACATTTTTAATCCATCTGAACATATGACCATTTATTCCTATTCTTCTAATTTTAAATAATAACCCTTCCCTCCACATCATATCACATGCTCTCTCAATGTCAAATAAAATTTTGCCACAACACTCTCTTTATTCACTTGAATGAAGTGAGTGCTCTAAACATTGTACCTCTCCTGAAACCAGTCTGATGTCATCATCATTCTCTTCATCATTTTACATAGGTTGGCTGTTAACCCTATTGGCCGATAGTTTTCTGGTTTTGACTCATCTTTCATCAGATTAGAATAACCACAGCTTCCTTCCAACTCTTTGGCAGTTCCTCATCCTCCCATATCTGATTATACATTTCTAATAAAATATTTTTAAAAGGTTCACTTAAATTACTGACCATAACATAACAAATTTGATCTTTTCCTGAAGCTGATAACTTATATTTTTTAAGAGCCCTGTTCAGTTCTGTTATTGTAAATGACATTGAATGGATCATTTGTATCTCCTATTTGCTGTAATAAATCATTCTTCCCTAAAATTGTCTTTTCTCTTCTTTTTTTTCTTCTTCACTGATATTTTCAGAACTATGAATTTTAACAAAAGTATTTACTGATATTTTTGCCTTTTCTCTGTCAGTAATTGCTGTTATTTCTCCATCATTTAATATTGGATAACCACTCACTCTTTTAATCCCATTCCTCCTTTTAATTGTTGTCCACCCCTTAGAAAGATATTTCTCCCTTGCATAGCGCCACCTACTGTACAAGGTATGGCCTTCCCTTAATCTAATCATTATCATTTCTTCCCTTCTGTTTCTATCACTAATATTTTTATCTAACACTGACTTTTTTATTTTTTTATAATTGCATTCCTTTCTTACCTTTGTTCTACCTTACTGCCATATTTCTATTTCTTTACTGTTAATTATTTATTTCCCACCCCTTTATCAAAAGCAAATGTAATTGTGGTTGCCCCCTCTAAAGCCCTTTTATCTAATTTTTCTGGCTTTTCATGGCCTTTTTCTCCTTTGTGTGCTGGTACCAACAGAACCAAATATCAGTGGCACCCCTGTATAACCTAAATAAACAAAATTTCTAATACTAAATCTTTCCTGTATTTCCTTTTCCATTAATATTTTCTGTTACTGCTTTAGAACCTGTATACATCACCACCCTGTCTGGTTGAACCTCCTATACTCACTGTGAGCTTATTACGAATGCCACTGTCTCAGCTGCAAAAACAAATAGTTTGGAAATGTATTTTAAACTCTGGAATAAGTATTTCCATTTCCACACATCTCTTTGTGCTCTTAGAACCATCTTACTATATTCTGAAGTAATTGGAATTTGAGTTTCTTAAGTGTCTATCAATTTTTACACATACTTCATTTAGGTTCTAAGATTTTTTTTATTTTTCATGTCTCTACATTTACTTTGGGATGTAGCCATGGAGGATTTTTTTAAAATTAATTTAATTTAATTTTTTTATTTTCTTTATTTAACCAGGTAATCTGGACCTCATTTTCAAGAAGGACCTGGGCAGAAGTCTGCAAGGCAGCTTCTGTAACCAGCAACCTGGTTACAGAATAAAGCACTAATTAGAGTAAACTGCACTTATCCTCAAGACACAACCATGCCTGTATGGCATGTTAGAATGTAAGTAGAGCAAAATTGGAAAAAGTAGCTTCATTTCTGAGGGAGTTTTGCAGAAACCTATGTTCTCCTTGAATATCTTCTTGAATAAATTTACCTGTACTGTTCGCAAGCCTCTGTAAGATTAAAAACAAAAGTTTTAGTGTTTTGAAACAAAAAAATATGTCTAAACAGCATGTTTGAATATGAGTAGAGCAAAGTGTGACACTTTAGATGAAACTACTTTTGATAAATTTCAGCGGAAAAATTGTAAAATGCAGTTTGAAGAAATGTATGATATTCTTGAATGTCCCAGATCAAGGATTTATTGTTTATACCTTTGTAAATTTAAAAACAATATTTTTTATTGTTTTAAAACAAAAAAACATGCCTGTTCAATGTGTGAGAATACACATTGTACATACTTTTGTATTTACACACAGGTCACATGCGTACACACATGTACTTATGTCTCAGCAACATAAGTACAAAATGAAGTGTTTTGAGAAACTCTTCAGTTTGGATTATATATTCATCTTTATTTTCTGTCTGATCCTTCTTTTCCAGGATTCCCAGGTCATCAGAGAGGTGGAGTGGAGAGAAATAACTTCCCTTTAACAGGGAGGTTCTGAACAGCTACTGTGACGCATCGAACACATTCTTTAAATGTTTGCACTTCTAAGAGCAGCCAGTTGGGGACATCATTGGCCCTTTTCTCTCTTTTTCTGTTTGGGAATCGGGGAGCAGCTGCTTGTCACATCCCTGCCTTTGCTTTGTCATCTCCCTCCTCCTCTCTCAGGAAAGGGACCACCACACCCTGCCAGCCAATCAGAGCTCAGCTCCACCTCCTCCATCACATCATCTCGATCTCTAAGGTAACAGAGAGCCAACCCCCCTCCTCCTTCCCCACCACCTCTCTCTCTTTTTCTCGCTCAGTGTCTGTTTCCATACAGAAAGGTGCCGCATCATCATCCTCTCCCCCATCTCACCATCCCATGCTAAGCTGCTGGCTGGTTAGCATTAGCTCTTCTTCTCTTAACCTGATCTTGCCTTCTCTGCAGTTGGACTGTCAGTTCATTACAGGCATCCCCCAGTTGGTGACTCCTCTACCATTTAACAGAGAACAAGAAGGCAGAAAGATGGAATGAAGGAGAGGAAGAGTAGCAATGTGGTACGTATTTCTGACTTGCTTCGTTCCCCTCCCCATGTCTGAAATTCACTCCTGCCTGTGTGTCTGTAATCCTGAGGAGAATGCTGCTTTATTGAGCTGTGTGATGGTGAAGCATAATGAGGAGAGGGGTTGGGGTGTGGGGGGTCTGGACAGCAGCAGAGGGAGGTGACTCCCTGGATCTGGCTGGGCTTTTGTTCAGGAGGCCTGCTTCTTTCTGTTAATATTCCTCCGTTTGCAGCATATTGACAGAGGCCTACACCTTACATGTTATTCATGCTCCCTTACAACTGATGAGGTTAGAAATGTATAAATTTATGCTGTTTATTATTATGGGCTACTTGTGATGGAGCAGAAGCTGGCTCTTCTATGATTTCATTTGATGTTGTGTCAGCACAGACCTGATTCCAGCTGGATGCTGCTCAGTTGTTGTCAAATACTGTTTTACTGCAGGCAGGTCTGATGGGATACTTTGACTGTTCCTTTAGTGATCTTTATAAACTACTGGGAGTGTCACAGCATAAGTAATAATATGATCTAGAGGCCAGTAGTCACGGGAAATATGAGTAATCAAGTTCCATGGAGGGCACTGTAGATAGGGTGCTTGACAGTTGGAAGTAAAAATGCTGAAGATGTTTGTTATGTCAAGAAGTTTTGTTTCTAATTACACCAGGCAAGTGGTTGAGTGTGCATGTTAACCCTTTTTAACATTTTTGTTCTACATTTTGTTTACATTTGTAGTACAAAAAAGGGTAGCAGGTGAGTTCTGTTGTCCTTTGGAACTGAAATTGGAAAAGTTTTATTTCCCTCTTTGAAAAGTAGAATCTTAAGTTTTGAATCAAGTGCTCACTTCAGTATTGTGTTTCCCAGCTGAGAACATTGTAAATAAATCTCAACAATGTCTACTAAAGACTAGACCTGTACTTATGCATTGTTTTTTCTGTTTGAGTTCCGACCGTAAATGGTCAACTCTATGAGAATGCTGAGTCTGGAAAGAATGTAAGTCTTTGTTTCAATTTCTGGGTCAATTTTCATAATTTGCTCTTTTTTTTATTGTATTAAATGTTCTGACTGGCAGTGTAGTAATCAGAATTGTTGTCTGTGTGCCCTAAAATCCTAAACTGCGCATGATTAATTGTAATACAACTGTCAGATTATGTTAAAACAAGAAAACGTATTGGTTTACTTTCACACTGGTTTACTGGTTTGCTTTCACACTGGGTTCATTCTCTGGCTCTTAACAGAGCCAGAGAATTATTAAAATGCAAGGTTTTGGTGAAGATAACATCATGATACATCATTCCAGAACTTAATACAAAATCACTAAATAAAAACTAGATTGGTTTAATAATATGCACAGCCTTGAACTGTCATTGTGCTGAGGTGCCTGTGGGATTCATTTCAGAGTTCAGCCTTGTTAAGTTCACACCAGCTGTCAGTTACAGTGAAAACAATTCAACTGTTTTAGCAGAATTTTGCTCTTGTGGATCCTTGATGCAAGGTTAGAGCTAGCAGAGAGGTTTTTTTCCCCTGCCATCGTTCCAAAAGCTCTATTTGACCAAAACAAGCAAAAAAAGAAAACACCTTCAGCTATCTGGTAAAAGATTGCAAACATTAAAAAATGTACTGAGTCCAAGTGACTTTCAGATCTACAAAAGATGACTTTGTGAAGAACATCAAAGTTATGGAATGGAGTCCATCACTAAATCTACCAACAGTTGAACACTGTTAGGCCTTTGGACAAGAGACATCCTCACAATCTGAGAGATTTGATGAGCTTCTGCAAAGCAGAGAAGGTTAATATTCTAGACTCATTTATCAAAGGCAGACTAAATGCTGTAATTGAATAAAAAGATGGTTCAACAAGATTTTTAAGGTTAAGGGAAATGCAAATTTTATTATAGCAGCTTTTCAAATTTTCCATTTTTCAATCCAGAAGAGTTATTTTTTTTCATAGTTAATTTGCTTACTCACATTATTCTTGGAAAAAGTCTGTAATTATGGTCTGATCTCATCACACCAGCTGATTTTATCAGAGATGTGTAGATGTATGAAAGCCACCGTGAAACTGGTCTGATGAGAATCACCAGATCAGTTGATTGTTTCTGTCAGCGATGCCAACAAGATGCATCGACCTAGATGCTTCAAGCATCAAGATGTTTTCACAAAATTCTGTTGCGCTAAGTCCTTGGATTTATTTATATCAGTCATCAAGAGCAACTTTCAGATCCATGCCTGCTCCAACACAACTAAATCAAATGAATGGCTCATTACCAGGCCTGCTCAGAATTGAATGACCGCTGGTGAGGGAATTCAGCCTTTCGATCCCAGTCTGTTGCAGTAAGGATGCATTTAAAAGTTGCAGGGCCGTGGCTCTTGAGGACCGGATTTGAGCACCCCTGATTTATATAATAGTAGCCAACTGTACTTATCACATTTTCCTAAAAAATACCAATTAGCCAGATGTTGCTGTTTTACAAGGAGTTCTCTGCCACACTTATAGAATATTTAGAAGATTGCACATACCCACAAATATTTGTACATTTCAATATTGAATATCTTGTAGCTATTCTTTTTTTAATGCACAAATATGCACATTGTCTAAATTCTTTTAATTACTATGCCTACTTTCACATTTCATTTAAAGTACATTCGTGGTATGCGACAAAAATAATATAAATTGCTATAAAATCTAAATATACTAAATATATTTCAAAAATCATGTTAAAATAAAATGTTAGGATCTGGGATAGTCTGTATGTTCTGTTAATCCTTTGTTGAAGTTTGTGTGCCCCTCCTTATCAGGGCGCCAGATAGCAGCAATCCTGACTTGCTGCAGGTGTTTCTGTCACACCTGCAGCTCATTTCCACCCCTCTGCTTATGGATTTAAGGAGCTGGACGCCAGCACTTCGACACCTGAGCCTGCATCCGCAGTGGTAAATCTCTGAGCCCCCTGACTATATCTTGTGCCTCCTAATTCTTCTTTTGTGCTGTTCTCCTCATTGTCTCCTTGATCAGGTTACCTTTACTTAACTCCAGATCTGGATTTCCCAGTCTTGTTCTGATGTCCTTGTTCCTCCCATATTCCATTGATTCTAGACAAACTCCCAGAGCTGGCTCTCCAGCACCTTCACCACACGGCTTCCATGACTGGACGACTACCTTTAAAACATCCATTTAAAATTTTGTGTCATGCCTTTTGGACTCTGTAACACACCATCTGGTCTACTCATCACACCTGCAAACATTTGCGAAAATTTCAGGGATTTGCCAATTTCTATCACAGTCTCACGCTCTCATTGAGGCTTCTCCCCCAGCTGCTCTCACCTCCACCAAGATCCCCTTCTCTTTGAGTCCTGAGACTGAAGTGGCCTTCCTCAAATTAAAGGGATGTTTCTCTGAGACCCCCCATCCTTATTCAGCCCGGTTCTCAGAAGCTGTTTGTTGTTAACATCAATTCTTCTGAAGTAGGAGTCACTCTCATCTCATCAGTCCATAAAACCTTTGAAAAGTCTGTTTTCAGATCTGTCTTGTCCCAGTCTTGATGTTTCAGTGTTGTGTCCAGTTCAGTGGAGGTCAGGTTTCAGCCTTCTTACCTTGGTCATGTCTCTGAACATCTTGTACTTCTGGGCACTGCAGGTAAGTTGTAGTCCTGGAATGACAGCACTGGAAGATAATGGGTTACTGGTTCATGTTTGATTCTTCTTAACTCTTTGCCAGTTAATTTGCAATTTTTTTTTCTCAACACATTTTTTGCAACCCTGTTGACCAATGTTTTAGCAATTACAGAAGTGTTGCATCCCTCTGAAAAACGTTTTACACTTTTGGACTTTCAGAGTCACTTAAATCTCTCTTTAGACCCATTTTATCTGAGGACAAGAAGCTGTCTAATAATTATCCACACATTAATACAGAGTGTTGTTCTCCATAGGCCCCTCCTTCCCTCATTAAACAAATACACATTAGCTGATAAGTTCATACTCCACAAACATTCAAGTTTATACAGCGTGGAGTCTGTAAATACTGATAAAAATGATGATATGGTCAAAACTCAAATAATTTTGCACACCATATAGTTTTGTTTCTGCTCCGTTGGAGAAAGTTATGACACATCCACACATTGATTTGTCCTAAGCATCTGTTCAGAGTATTGATGAGTTCAGAGTCAATGAGGGCATCATAATGTAGAGCTGTGTATCATCTGTGTAGTTATGGTAGGTAATCGTAGTACTTGTTTTAACCTCAGGTAAAGGTAGATATTGAATAGGCGAGGTATTTATTGAATACAACATTTAGTGAAAATCACCATACATTTTATAAATGTAATTTATTCATATATAAAATCAAGTTGATTTTTAAGTCACTCTGTTTTTCACTGTTGATGTTTATCTCCAAATTCAGATTTTTATTTTTATTAATCATGTTTTCATCCTGAGACAAAAACACATTTCTTCAATGCTCAGTCTTTGCCAGTAGTTACCATCATTATTAAAACATAAGTATTTAGTTTTAAACAAACATGACAAAGACTATGGTGTACATGAACAGCTTGGCTTGGAGTCACCACTCAGATCTGCTTGCCAGAGTTGCCAGAGGTGATGTGTGCTTGTTGATCTCATTCCATCTGGTCAATGATAGATTTTCCACTCAGAATGCTCTCCCTGCCTGTCTGCAGAACATAAACAGGCCAGTAAGCCTTCTCACCATAAAATTATTCATTTTTATTGAGAGTTTGTTTTGTACAGTTGAAATCTAGCTAATATGTAAAAGTTGGCTCCTTGTCTAATTTCCGAAGCATGTCAACATCCACCTTTTGACTTTAAGAGCTCTGCATGAGCACACATCAGTTTCCATCAGTTTGCATCCTTTCACCTGCAACCTTCTGTGGCTCCAAGACTCTGGAACTCTCTGAGATCAGCTGAACAGGGTGACTTTTATAAAAAAAAAAGCCACATAGAAATTTATCTTCATAAATCTGATTTTGCTTTAAGTGTCCTGTTTTTCTTTTGTTTGCTGAAGTACTTTGTATAACATTAGAGTTCAACTAAATATTGAAGCTTGATTTTCAGTTTTAATATACAGTTTTAATGTATATAAATGCTGCACACTAATACTGGCCCAATAATCACGCACACATAGATATTATCCAAAAAAGCCAAAATCTTAGTTTTACTTTCTTAAAAGAAAGATTGATGTCAGGTTTGAGATGTTATTAACATTTTGGATTGACTGAGAGCGCTGTAGTTGTTCAATAATAAAACTTAAAATAAATGATCAAAACGACAACTGGCATAATAATTGTACAAACAGTGTAAAGTTTAACTTCTTTTACCTGACCACATTTGTTATTATGTTAGAGGCATAACAGATTATGTATCTGTAATGATTATGTATCTATTATTATGCATTGTTCCGAATGTGAGAGGATAATTTGAAGGCACATTTGGTCAAAGTGGTGCAGCGAAGGCTGTTCATAAAAAGCTTGAATGTCTTTTCTTTCACACAAGGATGGATCTTAGTTGCTTCCTGATCCCTATAGTGTCTGCTGTGTCACAAACCGTTCACAGACCTGTTAATAAGTCATTGCATCTCTCTCAAGCTTATTTTAAGTCACTGTAAAGATGTAAAGTAAATGCTAATCTACAAATGATCATTTATTTTACTGAAGTGATCTGCAGATTGAGCAAAAAATGTGAACCACTCTTTCTGTCATTGTATAATACAAAAGCATTCTCTGTCTCCAGTGAAATGTAACAAATCGTGACGGCAAGGAGGTTATGGACTGAGTGAAAATACTTGAAGAACCATACTTTATTTATTTATGTTGCTCACACGTGTCCAACCTCACATTGTATCTTGTTGCTCTAGTTTTTTCCAGATGCACGCTTTGCGCCGACTAGTGGTGCCTGGGTGCTTCAGTATGTGACTGAGTCAGGTTTCCTGTTTCCTTCTTCTCCTCTGCTTTTTATGCAAAATACAGAGGCATGATGGAATCAATGCTTGGAGTTATCTGCTTCCCTCCACCATGTGATAAATTATCACATGGTGGAGGGTGATAAATGGGGGTGTGTGAGCAGTGCCACGCAGTGCCAGCTTATGCCACGCAGTGCCAGCTTATGCCACGCAGTGCCAGCTTATGTTTGCAACAAAAACAAAGCTGTGGAGAAAAAATAGGTCAGAAAATGAGGCATAGACAGACTTTATTTTTGTAAAGTCTGTAGAGATCAAAATAAAACTGAGGTTCTTTATTACTGAAGGCTAATTTAATGCCAGTATCAGATCAAGTGGTTAACTAAGTAGGTTAATTTTCAGACATGCTGCTCCAAAGATAACTTCTGTGTGCCTGAATCTCAAAGCAGAAAAAATCAAGACATCCACGTTTTTATGTACTCAAGTCTTTCTAACTGATTGTCGGATGAATACAGTATCCTCTGTATAACAATGGAAATTAGCTTCTGTCTTGGACTTGGCCTGTGTTGTTTCTCATTTATATTTTCTTTTCTGTTCAGTCTTCTTGACTTGACTTCATTTTAATTTACCACAAGACTTTGTCTCTTGTTTCTCTGCAGTTCCTGTCCCTGAAGCCACTCCAATAACATTTGGAATTCTACTTTCTCTACCATCATGAGCGTTGCAACTCTCTCACCTGTGAGTACTGAGCCTCCATCCCCAAAGCTCATATTCATCACAGACGTCGAGCCGTCCCTTCACCCAGCTAACGCCCCTGTGAGTCCAGATGTGGCTCATCAGTCTCTGAATGGAGCCTCTTCCCTGGGCCCTAAGAGCAACCAGTCCAACCTCACCGGTGAAGAGTCTATTACTGATCCAGTCTTCTCCCAGAGGTATAAAATCCCCCACAATAATGATGATATCTGTTTAAACTTGCAGTGTAGGTCCTTTTCCCTCTCCTGGACAATGAGGGTGCAACACTGAAAATGTTTTGTGATGGTTGTTTTTGCAGTGATAATTCTAATTTATATGGAGGATCAAAAAGTTAGGTGACTTGACTTGACCATAGCAACCTATTTCTCCACTCTGATGAGTCATTTTCAAAGTGCAGAGATGTGCTGATTCTATTTCAGAGATAAAGTCTGGGAATGAAGAGCACAAAGAAGATTTGCTGCTTTTAACTGCTAAAACTGCTAAGCTAACTGTCCTCAACACTGAACTCCAGGGAAAAAAAACAAACATCTGTCCAACATTAGTGCAGTTAATACATACAAACCGAACTTTGTGTTTCGAAGACACATCTGAACACTGGAAAGCTAAAACATTTTCTGAATCTGAAAAAAAATGATCTCAACAATCAAAGAGCAGGATGAGGAGGACCTGGAGGATTTCTGCACACATATAGACAAAGTGACAGCAGAGTTGAGTTCATGTTTTGATGACTTAAATGTCATGGAGGACATTGCTACATTTTTCTCAAACTCCTCTCAGCACATTGAAATAGAGCACATAGCAGCAGAACTGAACCTGTGTATTCTATGGCACTTGTATTGTATTTATTTATTTATTGTGTAGTTTAAGGTTTTAGCTCTGTTACACTGGTAGCCAAGTAACGACATTTTGTTGTCAAGATTCATCTTGTGTTTTTTTGTACAATGACAATAAAGGAAGTCTAAGTCTAAGTCTAAGTCTAAGTCTAACTTCATTATGCATTTGCCTTACAAAACTATTGAGGAGATAAATAATTTGCATAATTACATGTAACTGATAGCCAGATTAAGAGACAATGAATTTTGGGGTCTTCTAAGCAGAGAGACGTTCCCTCTTCTCATTGTATATGCACTACAATTGAATACTTCTTTTGGCTCCACTTACCTGTCAGAGGGGACATATTCACAGATGAAAAAATCTAACTATTGGAGCCCCTTTCTGACTGAGACCTTGCAGGCTGCATCAGACTGTCTGTCTGCATTTATGAACCAAAATACAGAAACCTTACAGAAAGACTTTGTTCTGAAACATCACATTGACTTGAAGGAGGTTTACAGGGGAAGCTCCTCCTTCTAGCACTGTAAAAGGTGATACTGAATGACATCACCTTTTAGTTTATTTGTTAGAGAAGCTATTGCCAGACCTCCTGCTATATCACATTTAAAGGAAATGTAGCCACTTTAACAAGTAAAGCTATTCTAGGCATAAATAAAATGCCTAGATTTAGAAGGGACTTTTATTATTCAGTGTGTCAACACAGATGTAGATCAAGTTCAGGGATCTTAGGCTCACAAAAAGTTAATGACCGTTTCGGATATCTGGCCAGCTGTAGGAAGAGTTCTGCTGGTTCCAAATGATGGAGGCCACTGAGCCCATCGCCTCAAAGCTTTACAAAGTTTTCTGGATTTTTCTCCAGATTTGTATAATTTTGGTCTCTGAGATCTACAAACAGTTCCTTTGAATTCATGCTTGGTGTTTGACCTCTGACCCGCACAGTCAACTGGGACCTGATATAAACAGGTGTGTGTGTCCATTTCAAATCAAGCCCAGTTAACTGAATTGACCACATGTGGACTCCATGTTTACTTTAGAAACATCTCAAGGATGATCAGTAGAAACAGCTCAGAGTTGAGGTTTAACGGTAAAGCATTAAGCATAGACTGTGTAGTCTTCTGTAGATGTGACTTATTTATTGCTTTCTATTTTTAATACTTTCAATACATTTGCAAAAAGATTCCAAAAACATTTTTCTCAGGGGTGTAGAATTTTGAGGAAAGGTTTCTGACTGCAGCATTCAGCTAATGAAAAGTAGAAAATTAAACACCACCAAGTGGGACTTTCCAACAAAAATATTTGTCTTTATGGAGTGTACTGTATTCTTGTTAAAATTTAAACTAAAAACTTTAGATTTGCATCTACAAAGTGAAATACATTTGCTAATTTGACACAAAGGAGGGGAGATGCTGCATTAGTATGTCTATTCTAAGCAAAGTTTAAGATTTAACTACATTCAGCAAAAAGTAAAAAAATGTAAACAAAAATTGTGTAGCTACCATCAAAGTAAAAAAAAAAAAAAAAAACCCACACTCACCAGGGTTTGGCATTATTTTTAAATATCTATTGGACTTTTGGGGTATTGCTGATTTTTCATAAATTAGGATGTTGGAAGTCACAATTCAAAACTCAAATATATATTATTGTTCAGATATTTAACTTTATCAGAACTATTTGCCAAGAAAGCTAAATTTACATTTAGTACTGAGAAGACTTGTATGATGATTCTGAGTGTAGATTCTCATTCTTTATTGTATTTATTTCTCATGTATTCTACTTTGAGGACAAAGAAACCTCCTCCTCTCCACACCGGAGCCGACTGGAAGGTCGTCCTCCATCTGCCAGAGATTGAGAAGTGGCTAAGAGCAACCACTGACAGAGTTGCTCAACTCACACACTCTGTGGGACAAGACAGTGACCACAGACATGTGGATGTTCACCTAGTACAACTTAAGGTAAGCAAAAAGTGCGCTCTTCCTTTGACTATGGCAACTCTTGCACGCACCCCTGTCAGTCATTTTCTCTGAATTCTCTTGGTATATTGTTTGTTGCGGGTTTCCCTGTTCAATAACGCTGCATGCGCTCTTCCGCCACAACTGATAAAAAGGTTTACGTCAGGGTTTGACCATGGAATTATTGACTTGCACTTCACCATCTCACCAACTACTAGGTCTCAAATTTAAGTGATGGTTGAGATGTTATTGTTCAGAGTTTGTAAGTCCCACCTTCACTCACCCAATCGCATAAATCCAGAGGCCAATCAACAAATGCTCCTTTTCTATTCTAGATAAGTGACTGAACAATATTTCATACCTGAGAAGTCATTGATGATATTATTTTAAAATGTGAAAAAACACCAAACGCTCTTCCTTGTCACATGCTGCACTAGGCTTCTGGTGATAAGATCCAATCTAAAGAACTTCAGAGGACAAAGCCATAGCTGCTGGAAAGCAGTTTCATTTGTTTTCATTTGTCCTCTAATTCATTTTGACAGAGTCTTCTTCATATGCAATGAATGGGATATCTGTTAACGTAAGGGAGGAGAGATGCTTCTTTTTTCTCAGACAACTCTTGCTGCAGCTCTGTCTATCATTGCGTTGGAATTCTATACAAACATTTAAAAACCTAAATCTCTACTTGTGGGATCTCTCCATAAGTCTATTAGAAGAACCAGTGAAATATTGTTCTTATCTGGGGACACCTGTGGCGCTTTTGGAGATGATCCTTCATAAAACCAAGAAAGTTATGGACAACCCTGACCCTCCTCTTCAAGAGATTGTGTTGGGAAAACAGAATGTCTTCAGCCAGAGGCTTCTTCAGATTCACTGTACTTCAGACTGCTGTCAGAGTATTTTCTGCTAAAAGCCATTATTATCTACGAAAACTTTGAAGGTTCTAGAATGAATGAGTTACAACAACTTTTAATTTCCCTTTGGGCTCAATAAAATATTTTTCAATTGAGCCACCTTGCTGGGATCATGACTTCTGTCATGGAGACATTAAGTTCTTTATGCAGTTTTATGCAGATAAATACCCCCTCACATTAAATAAAGGATAATACGGCTATTGCAAGAAGTATTTCAGATGAATACAGAAGTTCTAAAATATAAGGATTCAGTAAACCCATAAGAATGTTAGACTCTGCTCACACACTTCCATCTGAGCGATCTCAGACTCCACTGGGGAGGACATCTGTGCTACATCTGGATCTTGCAGTATAAATGTTTATGTTTAAAAACCAACGTTTATTTTAAGGAATTAGAGTGAGGCCAAATTAACTTTGCTCACTTATTAAGAACAAGCAATACAATACGTTTTTGACCAACTAGTTCACAATTCAATGCAGAGGCATTATTTTATTAGAGGATTTTTTTTTAAAGAACACGACGTTGGATTGATTGCAACTGATTGTCACTGTTCTATTAAGTAGCCATTACAGTGACTGAACAGAATGATCAACTACCAAGATGGCAGCTTACAATGAGCAAAGATCCACAGTTTGACAGGTGTGATGATGTCACATCCAGAATCAATGGTTCAACTGACGATAATGAAAGTTAATACCGCTGTGCTGTCAGGTGGTGTTACATTTTGATGATGGCACTTATCAAAATGTAATGTTTGTTACTGTTTTTTTTTCAATTGCTGACTGTATGGTGTCTTTTATGATTTTGCATATTTGTTTATTTATGATGTAAAGTACTTTGTACTGCCTGTTTGTTGAAATGTGTTGTTCAAACAAACTTGAGTGATTGGGCAGATGCCAAGTCTTTCTGGAAAATGAAATCAGCATTTCCATAAAGCTGGTCAGCAGAGGGAAGTAGAGAGAGCACTGAGACTTCCTGGTAGATGCATCATGCTGCATTTGTTGAGAGAGGGGTGGAACGGGATGAAACGGCATATCAGATCAGAACTGGCTTTGGATTCTGAGAGTTTCATTTTATATAATTTCATCATATATAAATTAAATAGATCCCAGTTTATGAGAAAGAAATTCAGTCTTTGTTTTTAACTTTCTTTTATTTTTTATTATTTTAAGAAATGTTTTATGGCACATATCATTTATCTTTATGTATAAATCTGTCACTGGCTCATGTATCTCAAGCATGTAAAATATGAGCAATATTTGCTTTGAGCTTCTTGAATGACCCTTCAGTTCTACTTAAAATCTAGCTATTTTGAAAAGCAGGATGTGTTCCAGAAAAACCAATTAGGTTTGAATTTAGACAGTTGTGTAAATCTCTCTATATTATTGGATTTAACTGACTATTTTTGTATAAAGATAATGGGACTTTATGGGATAACGTTACATTATCTTTATACAATTTATTTTGCATAGTTCTAATTATTATGCAAAATATATAATCATTTTGTATAATTACATATTCCGTGAATAAATTGAATGAGCCATTATTGTAAAATTTTAAACATTTGTTGAAAATTGGGTTGATGCGAATAAAAAAAAAAAAAAAAAGAAATTGTTCTAATTCGAGAAAATCTGAAACAACTTAGGCCCCACCCCCAATTCTTGTGTTTGATGTCTTTGAACTTGTTATTGTTTAACCCTGGAAAAAAAGAACAATTGAAATGATCAAAAGTCTAGAAATTGCGACATGGAGATGCTAGATGGATGTAAATTTTATGTGCTGATGCTCAGTGCAGTTCGGGGAAGCGACAAACCCAAACTTTTGCATAATGCCTGTGTCACAGCATAAAACAACAGCTTACTGTTTGGGTTCTGAGGTCATTCTGTGTGTGTGTGTGGGTGTGTGTGTGGGTGTGTGTGCGTGTGGGTGTGTGTGCGTGGGTGTGTGTGTTTGTGTGTATGTGTGTGTGTGTGTGGGTGTGTGTGTGCGCGTGTGTGTGCGTGTGTGTGTTTACTAATGCGTTTTTGTCACCAGTCTTTATTTGTGGAAATGTCACTTTGGTGCCTCTACAGTTAATAAACACAGCAATAGAGAGATAGAACTTGTGCCTTCTAGTATTAAGAATGCCTTAAACTGGGTAAGATAGCGAACAACAAAACACCACGTAAAGTTTTTTTTTTTTAAATAATGTGTAATATATTGAGATCATATTCAGATTTTTACTGCATAAATTGCTCATATAAAATTTAAAGACTTGGCTGTGAAATAGTCTACATTCTGTCTGACTTGATGTTTGCTTAGCCTTATGCTCATTCTCAGGTTGACCGCTCCACCTAGTGGTATTGTTTCTGTATTGCAACAAGGTGGAGAACAGCACTGGCATCCCCCCTCCTGTGGAGATGCCGATGGGATAAGAGGCATGTCATATGTAACCAGTCTCATTGCTTTTTTAAATTTTCCAAAGAAGACTGCTCTGTTGGGTGGACTCAAATGTTTCACCTAAATCTAGAAAACTTCCTAAAACATATTTATTATTTATAGCAGAATTCATTGTCTAAGTCTGCTGAACCACAGGAATTTATCTGAATTAATGTTTTCAAAATCTATAGTAATGTTTTCACAAAATGTAGAGCACACAATATGTATGTTGATTATACTGTAATGAATTATATAATTATACATGATTCAAAACAAAAGTGTGATGTGAAAAAGTATTCAGCCCCCTTTACTCTGAGTGCAACCAATTGGCTTTAGAAGTTGCCTAATAGCTCATTACTAAACAGAGTCCACCTGTGTGAAATCTGATCTCAGAACATATCCAGCTGCTCTGACACCTCAGAGGTTCACAGGATATTGGAGAGCAAACAGTATCAAAAAGTCCAAGGAACACGACAGACAGGTCAAAGAGAAGTTTAAAGCAGACTTTGACTACAAAAATATTTTCTGAACTTTGAACATTTCTCTGTTTATTCTAACATTTGGAAATGAAAACAGTTAGGCACAAATGTAAACCTCCCAAGATGAGGCCATACACTTAAACGTCCAGCTGAACAAGGACAGCTGTGATCAGAGATGATCAGAGATGAAAACCCATTGGTTTTCATTGTTCCTACTGTAAAACATTTAGGTTACCTACATTTATGACTTTTACAAGCAGCTAATGCCTGGTTAGCTGTTTTACCTAGAGAGGAGCGATCTCCTCTCTAGGTGAGGAGGTTTGTGGTTGAGCAGACTCACTGAACAGACACATCTTCAGATGGCTGTTGAAATCACATTCATGCCCCTGGTGATCTCTCTCTTCCTTCATCATGTTCTTCCTACCCTTTTGTGGTTTTTGTTTCTTTCTTATCCTCTCCATCATTTGCAATCTCTCTCTTCCCACCTCTCTCCATATCTTTGGCGATTTTATAATGCGTTTGCCTGCAGAGCATTTTTCTATTACCCGACCTTGCCACATAGAGACTGTAGGATATGATTATACTGATGCAGCTGCTGCCTCTTTGGTGTGTGTTGTTTCTGTGTCTGGGTGTGTGTCTCAGTAATGGTATGGACTCCCCTGAACTATTCTTAGTGTCATACAGCAGGTGGAGTTCAACAGCTGAACAGAACTGCTCTGCAAGGGAGAGGCTGCTATATCTTCTCAACACTTCCATGGTATTCTGTGAAATAGTAAAACTTAAAAAGCTATAACTACAAAACATTTTCAATAGAGCATTTGACTTTTGTCCTCACCAAAGATTGTCTCACTTGGTCCTGGTAGCACCCCACCTCCCCCCACTTCCACCCCTCAGTTTGTCCTGGCCTGTGCCATTTCTTTAGTGAAACCAGTGAATAAAACAATAACTAATATTTCTCATGGGGTCTGACCATTTTTTCATACATTGAAGCCATGCTTTTAAACACTTGCCTCCCTTTCATTTGTGGAGGATGTCTTTGATGTAAACAAAATCCATGATTTTCTTGTCAACACTATTCATCTACTAACATGAACATTTAACTTTGTAAACAAATTCGTCACATTACCATTCTAATCACCATATTATTGTAAAAAAAAGAAAAATTAAAGCTGAAAATTAACCTAATGCTGA